TAATGATGTGTGTATGATCTTTTCACAAGATTTTATAAAATCAATTCAAAAATTTGATTTTTAGATATTTTGTTAACTAATTTCAATATGATCTTAAAATTAAAATGTGAATACAATACATATTATATTATATTATATGTATGTATAAATATAATTTTTAATATATAATATGTAAATGCATTTAAAGAAAAAATATTTATATATACAAAGAAATAGAAATATAGAGCCAAAAATTTTTAAAAAATAAATTTAGAAAAACTATTTTTTTTATTTTATTACATACAATGAATGCATAGTTTTTAGAAAATTCATACATATATTACATTTAAAAATAATGTATAAAATTTTTTTTCGTATTTACATACATATATTATAATTAATTTTAATGTTACAATGTTCATATAGTGCAGGTATATAGATACTTCAATATGAAGCATACTTATATATTTTATAGTTGACCCTTGGTGTATAAGATAATTTCTTCTTTTTGTTTGAAAATTTTATTTCTATTGTTTAATTATAAGAAATGATACATGTAGATAGCTGAAATAACATATTTAAAATACTCGAAATTTAATCTTAAGAATAACATAATAACACAAAAAAGTGTCTCATCTGTCGATTTCACAATATTTGCTATAGGAGCTGAATATGAATTTCAATTTGAATTTTATTAGTAGTATTTTTATTTTAGTTAAATAATGAATTATGTATTTGTTTGTAACACAGCCATACTTAGGTTGTGTTGTTTATTAACTAATGTCTACTTTTGTGTAAGAAATTTAAATAAAATATGGGGAAAGAAGAATGTAATATTTTAAAATTGAAAAGGATTAATAAGATGTATGTGGGTATTTCTTTAATAATATGATAATATATTACATTTATTTTAACATTGTGCACATATTTTAAATTTAAACCAACATTTGAATACTTCTATTTATTAATTTGTGTATATATTATGTATACAAATTAAATTAAAATATTCAATCGATTTAATATAAAATGATAATATTAATTTTTGGTCTTTCTTATGAAATTTGAAATATTTAATATTTCTGCAATTGAGATTTATAAAATGTAGTATTATATTTGAATCAAATCAACTCTATTTTCACAATTTCTAATATTATTAAAAACCCTTGTAGTATTTAATATTTACAAATTAACAATTTTTCCAAACAATTTTGACTCAATGAAGCTGCTACAGTTTATTATATCAAACAATCTCAAACGTTTATTCTGATATTTGTTTTTCTATCAAAATTAACATTTTTATTGAATATTTTATTTACACATACTTGAATCATTTCAAATTATTTTAGAAATTTAAATCAATTTAAAAAGCATAAATTCAACAACACCCTTGAATAAAAATCAATGAACTCCAAAAACTTTTAAAAAATTTTTAAAATTTCATACATACTTACATATAACTAAGCTTTCAAAACTTAAAACGTTTGTTAATAGTATATATGTATTATTTATGTTTGTATATAAGTAGTTGGGGTCAATTAAATAATTAAATCTCTTGAATATTTTTTATTAAAAAGTATAAAAATTTGAATAAAACATACAGAAAAGTGCCTTTTCATGTACATTCATACACACTTTAATATACTACAAGAAACTAACTATTTTCGAAGATTAAAATCTGATTTGGATTAAATCAACGAAGTAATAAAATATAATTTTGCATATTTGAAATTGTAAAATATAAACAAAATAGCTACTTTTTAGAAGAAACAAAAAAAAGAAAGGAAAACATAAATTGTTAGTCATACTAAACACCATCTGTGCATTGAGTCATTAGATAAACTATTGAAAAAAATATGTTTACTTTACAAAAGAATTAAATACCAAAAAACATTTGCCTAAAGAATATTTACATAAAAACAACTCTTCACCTTAAATCTTGAATGTTTCTCCTATAAATATAAAATTTATCTATGTAGATAATCCTAATTTAAATAGTTTTTTTTTTTAATTAGTTATTAATATTAAGGTTATATGGAATCAAAAATCAAATTCCAAAGTAATTTTGTTTTTTTTTATGTTCGATAGTTTACTGACCTATCTGAAAAGAACTATCAACCATGTATTAAGATTTTCTCTTTTTCCTCTTTTTCTATTTTCCGGAATTTTTGTTCGCATATTATTCTTACATACTAATTAAATAATTAGCAATTAAATAACATATTTATGCACTTGATACGAAACTCAAAAGTCTTCTCAACATTTGACGTTAATAAATTTAAAAAATCATCAAACAATAACCATTGCAAGTCAAATTTAGATATCTCCTCCTTCCCTTTTTGTCAAAAAAAAATTTTTTTTTGACTTCGTTAAGAGATTGTAATTATAAGAGATAAAAATGAAAATTCGAAAATTTCCACAATATCTTCTCTAAATTCTCTAAAATATTTTCATGTACAAATAAAAATTTAAAGTTGAAACCATTGAAACTCTCACCGTAAAGCAAATAAGAAAAAACAAAAAAAAGAAAATACATAAAAATTATTTAAATCACCTTTAAAATAAAAAAAAAAAACTAAATGAGAAGAAAATACAAACATTTCTAAAATTTTCATTTTCTGAAATTTTTTTTTAATAACTTTTGAAAAGAGCAAAAAAGATTAAGGAAAAATAGAAAGAAAATAATTTTTGGGTAGGGTTGATTCTGCGAGCGAGAACGATAGCAAACAAAAGCGGTTCACAGTTTTCACAAAAATATTTTTTTATTATTTTGTTTTTAGTTATTTTTGCGTAATTATAGTATTTTAATTTTTTTTTGCAATTATTTAAAGTATAATTAAAAAAATAAACGAAAAAGTATTATTATCTCATTAGTTGGATTAAGACAAAAATAATTTTTTGGTATTTTTAAAAAATTAAAAAAATTAGGTACATATTTCGAAAAGATAAGAAAATTAAATTAAAAAATATAAAAATTTTAATTCACTCCATGTGGGTTTTTAATAAAATATGAAAAATATTCGAAGTTTTTGTGCTATAAATAAAAAAAAAGCTAACAAAATTAATTTTTTTTTATATTTTCTTAGTCAAGTGTGAATTCTATCTATATAACAATATTTTAAATATCTATGCATATTAGTAGAACTCTTAATCACTACATCAGCTTTATATATAAATATTATGTACTACTTATTATATATTATAAGATGTATGAAGGTATATATGTATGTATACATGTACATAAATTAAAAATTCATAAAAATTACCGGGCATTAAATCTATTTGCTTCGAAAAAGAAAGTGATCGTAAATTAATTTTTTAAAAAATAATAATAATAAAAATAAAAAAACAATGGGAAATTTTTTATTGTTTTTCTAAAAAAATATATATATATATGAATTTGGTGCTCTTATAACGAACAATATTCAAATATAATTTCAATAATGCAATCATATACCAAATTAGGTGGTGACTGATTATTCACACACTTAGATTCATCTCAATCCATTTAGATTAAAATTGCCTGCAGGAATATTTTTTGTAAAAGATATTTTTTAGATATTTATTTCAAAACTTTTGGCCAAAACTTATTACATTTCTAATCAATTTCTCTTGACATAAATTGAAATTTTAAAAACATTTTCATAGCATTACTTATATTTGAACTAGTTCAATCATGAACCGGTTTTTGTTAATGATTAACTAATTAATATTCTGCATTTAAAATAATAAATTAGAATTACTTAAACACAATATTAATAAAGTAAATTTCTACTCAAAGACAGACCGTAAAAATTATAATTTCTCAAAAGAATTAAATAAATTTGAGAAATTAATATACGCCAATAATTATAAAATAATTTTTATTAGAAAAACATTAAATTTAAAATAGAAATCCCTTAAAACTTTAATTAAATACTTAAAAATCTAAATATTTTTCAATTTTATTTTTTTATTCAATTGTTACTTAATTATTAGATTTGGCAACAACAAAATATACATAAAGTGCCGTCGGTTCTAATACTGCCTATAAATTTTCACCAACAATATTTCTAAATATAATTTTTATTTTCATTTATTACCTATTTTATTTTTATTAGATATTTACTTATTTTTTTATAATATTTAAAAAAAAGTGTGTACACATTATTTTTTTTTTAATTTTTATTTTAAAATCATTTTTTTTTTTTATTTTATAATAAATCTAAATTCCTATTATTGTTAGTTTCAAAGATTTCTTTTTATAAAAATAAATATGTCCCCAATTTCAATGAACTATAATTGCTTAATTAATTTGAAGAAAAAAATGGAAGAATGGAAGAGTGAAAGAATTTATTTGATTTCAATAATTGAGATTAATTTTGTGTTTATTATACTTAAAAAATGGAAAATGAAATCACCAGTAATTAATGGAAATTAACTCGCTATACTAGAAAAGAATAGAGCGAAAGCAACAGCAAAACAAAAATCATAAATTAAATTTCTAATATAAACTTTGGAACAAATTGAAAGAATAATTAGTTATTCTTTATTACATTTAAGTGTTTAATTTCTTACTTAAATAAACTTATTTTTTCCTGTAATCTGAAATAGAAGAAATAAACAATGAAAAAAATTTTATATTAATTTTTCTATTCTTCACCATTTAAAAAAATTAGTATGTAAGAAAATTTTGAATGCCTGTAATTTGTAAACTCTACTTTCGCCAATATTTTTAATATTAAATTTATTTTAATTTCTACTCTGTTCAAAATAATTAAAGAAGATTATGTGATCCGGACATAGATTGTCGGTAAACTCAAATACTGTATTCAGTTTAAATAACGCATCATTCTTGTGTCAGAAGCATTGATCTTTTTGAATACTAAAAGCTGCTTAAAAATTCAGATATAAAATTAATTTTACTTCTTAAATTCGAATCGATGATCAATTTAATTTTCATTTTCTTTCAAATAAAATTTTTAAAATGTTTTGTAATTAATTTATTATTAATAATTTTAAATTTTTCCTTTCTTTTATTTTAGGTTCATCTCTAAACAGTTTATTGGAAAAAAATATTGTTAAAAATATTCCAAAAATATAAAAGAAAAAACAAATATCGAAAATGCAGGCCGAAGCGCTGCAAATTGTTTCAACATCAACATCGGACCATACATTCATATTAGATGAAGAAAAATTAACAGAAGTTCTATTGCAAGATAAAATAAAAGATCGTTTTGTATGTATTGTATCAGTAGCTGGTGCATTCCGTAAAGGAAAAAGTTTTCTATTAGATTTTTTCCTAAGATATATGTACTCAAAGGTAAATTATGGTGATGAAAAAAAAACCAGCAAAAATGCATTTAACGTAATTTTATTAAGAAAAAAACTAATGTTATATATATATGCTTATTATATATAAAAAATATGATTATGTAATTTTTTTATATTTATTTTTGCTAATTTAAAATTATTAAATGATTCATTTATGTCTATTAGGTCAGAACTTACGTATTATATTTTATACATGAATAAAAAACAGTTTTCCTTAAAAATAAAAATTATAAGTATTAAGGCTAAATTAATAGTGATTAATTACAATTAGATTTTATGTTAAATTTAATAACTACTGCCGAAAATATTCATAAGTTATATATTTAATGTAGAAGTAATCAAATAGGCATTCATATGAGGTAGTCTTCAATATCGCTAGTTTTTATTTAATAATAATTTTGTACTGAACATAAGCTTTTATATAATATATATAATTTTCAATTCATATTGGTTACAAATTCTCAAATTAAAATACTTTAATAAAAGAATTCTCGTAATATTGGAATACGAAAAATTCTTAGACAATAAAATATCTATGTTTTAATATAATTTAAAAAAAAACATCTTTCCAATGTAATAGAAAGCAATCCATATAGTAAACACTAATTATTTTTAGTTTATCAAACAAAGAAATAAATGAATGGAAGTTTATCGTATAAATTCTATCTATTAAAATGCAATTGAAACTAACTAAAACAAAATTGTGATTCATTCATATTAATTTATTAATTTTTTTCTTGCTACACGCACAGAAAAGTAAATAATAAACATATGATATTTTTAAAAATATTCTTATATTTAATTTAATAGAATTTTGTTTTTGGAAAGAAGTAGAATTTCAGGTGAATAAACATTCTTTACCATACGACATGCTTCTCTAATATTTAAATGTAAATAACAAAAATATAATACATACCTAATATTTAAGTTTTAAAATAGCAAATGGAAAAGAAAAATCAATTTTTCAATAGAAAAGCATTTTGCAATATTTAATTAATAAGTAAATAAATCACCAAAAATATTTCAAAATTTAAAAATGAAAAACCACAATTTTTCTATATTTCATTGCGACTATATATAACAGAAGAATCTGTTATTCTAATAACATCCTTTTAAATGTGAGGTAATAATAAATAATGCAATTTAAAAATTATTTTTAAACTTGAACAAAACAGTTCTAAAAGTTTTTGATAAATCAAGGCCATATTATTTCATTTTTAAAATCTTTTCCTTTCAAATTATGTACATTATTTATTTTATAAAAACAAAATTTATACAATATTAAAACTTTTTGTTTTCATAAATTATATTGTAATTGTAACTATAATTGTAGATTGTTTTGCTCTTTAATTGTGATTCATCATGAATTTATAATATATATTGCATATGTAGTTAAATAATAAATTTAAATAACATATTTGAAACGAGAAACGAGAAAGGAAAGTTGTATACATACTTTTTTCGAATATATTTGTTTAAAATTTGGTATTCCTTTACATCTTTGCTTTCTTAAAATGTGTTTATTGTTAGTCATAACTTTTAGCTATTGATACAATTGATAGTGTAATATTGATATGTTTTTAAAATATCTTTCTATAAAATATCCTAAACAAATTTTACTGCATTTTTTCATGTTCTAAAATAATTTGCAAAAAAGTGAAATTAATTAATTTTATGTTTTTTAAATTTTTAGTACGTTTCACATGACACTAAAGATTGGCTTGGCGATGATGAAGAACCATTAACCGGTTTCTCATGGCGTGGTGGTTCTGAACGTGATACAACGGGTATACTTATGTGGTCAGATGTATTTACTTATGATTATCCAAATGGTGATAAAATTGCCATTTTATTATTAGATACTCAAGGTGCATTTGATAGTCAAAGTACCGTTAAAGATTGTGCAACTGTTTTTGCACTAAGCACAATGTTATCATCAGTACAAATATATAATCTGTCACAGAATATACAAGAAGATGATTTGCAACATTTGCACTTATTTACTGAATATGGTCGATTAGCTTTAGCCGATTCTGGTAAAAAACCATTTCAACGTTTACAATTTCTTGTTCGAGATTGGAGTTTTCCATATGAAGCAGAATATGGTGTTCAAGGTGGTGAAAAAATTTTAAGAAGACGACTAGAATTATCTGATAATCAACATCCTGAATTACAATCATTAAGACGTCATATAACATCATGTTTTACGGAGGTAGCATGTTTTTTAATGCCACATCCAGGTTTAGTTGTAGCAACAAATCCCAATTTTGATGGCCGTTTAAAAGACATAACACCAGAATTCAAACAAAGCTTAAAAGAACTAGTACCTATGTTATTAGCACCAGATAATTTAATATATAAAGAAATTAATGGACAAAAGGTTAAGGCTAGGGATTTAATACAATATTTTATTTCATATATGACTATTTATAAAGGCGATGAACTGCCAGAACCAAAAAGTATGTTAGTAGCGACAGCTGAAGCAAACAATTTAACAGCAGTTGCTTCAGCTAAAGAACTTTATTTGCAATTAATGGAAGAAGTATGTGGTGGAAATCGTCCATATTTAAATCCTGGTCATTTAGAAGCCGAACATTTAAGGATAAAAGACAAATCCGTATTTCATTTCGCATCAAAACGTAAAATGGGAGGCGATGAGTTTTCGGAAAAATATCGAGAAACATTAGAAAATGATTTAGAAGAATCATTTCAAACATTTAAAACGCATAACGAAAGTAAAAATATATTTAAAGCAGCTAGAACACCGGCCGTTTATTTTTCTATTGCAATTGTCATGTATATATTAAGTGGTATATTTGGGCTCTTTGGATTATATACCTTTGCTAATTTCTGTAATTTGATTATGGGTGTAGCATTATTAACATTAGCGCTATGGTGTTATATTAGGTAAATGTTTTAAAAATTGCTAATAAACATTTTATATAACTTAATAAATTTTTCAAAAAATTGTTATAAATTCAAAATTTTAGGTATAGCGGAGAGATGACTGAATTTGGAATAAAATTAGACGACATTGCTGAAATTATATGGGAAAATGTAAGTAAAATGAAAATTTTATTCTATATGTATTTAAGTCATGGTAACCACATTCAGGTACTTATATTTCAAAGAAAGAAAAATGTTGCAATTAAAACCAGAAAATATCACAGAAATTGAAAAATTTAATCAAGGACTAAATTAGAATATTTATGCTTATTTCAAAATTCGTATAAATTATTTATCAATTTTGTTTTAATTTTAAATAAATGAAAGTCATAAAAATTGAAGTTTTTAGAACAAAATTATAAAACTATCAATAAAAATCTATTTAAATCATGGAATATATGTAACATATTGAATTGTAATAAAAAAAAACTTTCTCATTACTCTTTTGAAAAATGTTATTGCAATTTTAAACTTAATTTTACTTTATCCTTTTAGTTTATGAAACCGATATACGAAGGTTGTATGGAAAAAGGTATACAACATGTAGCGACGCATGCCGCAGAAGCAGCAATTGGTGCCAACTCATCATTATCAAGACAGACATCGATGAACGGAAAAGTCAAAAAATCATGAGAATACGCTAAATTCTCATTCTTCAAAACATCAAGTCAACCAGTAAATGAAACAAGTCATGAGCATAAAAATTCAAAGAAAATACAGCAGCCGCAATTGCAGTCAAATATAAATAATAGCAATAAAATAAATAATATATTAACTAACAATCAAAATAATAATTGTTATAATTTAAATAATAATTTTAATAATTGTAGTAATAATATTCCAAAACCAGAATCATCTCAATGGAATCTTTTTAAGTTTTTCAATGTGAGAAATTTGCCAATTTTTAATAATAATAGGAATTTAAATGAGAATAGTATTGCTACCGCCGGTATCCTTAAAAATTCTAATAATTATAATAATAGCAATGGAACAGATTTTGTAAAAATGTCTAATTATAATAAAAAAGATGATATTACATTGCTGACCTCAACAACAGCAAATATTGGTAAACGAAAAAAATCTAAGAAACCTGTGCCTAAAATTTAAGCGAATTCCGTTTTCATTTAAAATTTTTATTTTATATACTTAATAAAACTAAATTTTGAAAAAATATTTTATCGCTAATCTGAACTACAAAAAACTATATTGTAAGCGAAAATTCATCTTAAAATGTGGAAAAAATTTGAATTTAAAAAATGTACCTCCTTTTATTTAATTTTCTAAGTTAAATAACATTAATTAAATCAAGATCATTGATTTAAGAACTTTGAATTTTGTATATTAAAATTAAATTTTAGCAATGAATAATAAATCTCAACAAAAAACAAAAGATAAATAAAATTATATTGTACTGTTGTTAAGATACATATTTTTTTTTTCATAAAATAAAAGATATTTAAATTTTATAAACTATCTCCTCCTTTTTGTTCAATTTAAGAACAAAATTTCGCAAACAATTTAAAATTTATAAAAGTTCAGAACTTTTATAAAGGGCTTTGTAATATACATATGTGTTTGATTGAAATTATTAATATTAGAATAATAATAAAGTCAAAATTTATAAATTTTGTAAAAAAAAATTTATAAATGCATACGTATTTAATTTAAAATGGGAAAAAGATAGATAAAGGGTGATAAAATGTTATATTTATGTATTATTGCATATCTTTCTCCTTAAATAACGAAAATGAAATTAAAATATCATATTCTAATTAAAATGAATATGTTTATTATATATATATTTTTTTTAAATATTTTGTTGATTGTTAATTATCCTCATAATTATTGTAACTTATGTTATGTGTAAATGTTTTTCAAAATTTTCTATTTAATAGTTTTCTTTTTATATGAATTAATTTTTAATTATAAAATAAAAAATTCTGTGGCCGCTTTTGTGAAATATACAATTATGTTTTCTATTGGATTTTTATTTTTTTTATGTTTTTTTTTGCAATTTATTTTATATTTATTTTTTAGTTCTTGATTTCTGTAACAACTGGACAACTTAAACAATATAATTTTCAGCATAAACGGTGAAAATTGAACCCTATTGCAATTTTTTACATTTACATTATATTAATTGTTATATTACATAAAATAATAATGTATATTACATATATTATTAAACAACATATGAATATTATTTCAATTGAAACTAAATTAATTACAAAAAAAGTTTTATGTAAAATTAAAAAGAATAAGGCTTCCCAAGATTCAATTTAAATAAAAAAAATTGTATTCAGAACGCAATTTAACAAAAAATAAACGGAGAAAGTTCAATTCGATTAAAATTTTCGCAAATAAGTGTAGAAATTTGTTTTGTAATTATCGTTTTCTACAACAATAATTTGAATATTTGCTCATTGGATATTAAAGAATTAAATATAGATCGTTGACTCGTGTCGGGTTTAATATTATCGATCCCCAAAATCTATTATAAGCACAAAAATTTATCAGAAATATTAAATATAATTAATCACATTTCACGTGTACATTAGAACTTATACAATTCAAAATTTATTTTAGCATTTTTTATTTTATATTATTAATCTGTACTTTTTATATGAAATACTTTACATTTTAAAATTAATATTTTCGACCTTATTTTATTATGATTTAAATTTTTTATTTTATTTTTTCTTTTCCCTTTTTTTAATTTTTCATTATCAATACATACTTTATTAATGAGTGATGATTGAAATGTAAATATAGTAAATATAAAAGAAAAAATTACAAAAATATAAAAATTTTATTAAAAGTTGTTTTCTATTAGAAATAAGTGTGAAAAAAAAAATAGAATTTTATTGTAGATGTGTTTTTCGCAAACTTTTTTGTCCATCCCTCTCTAAAAATTTAGATTCTAGGATAATTATTAAATTACAGTGATTCGAAAAACCGAATAGAAAAAATATTTGTTTTATATTATAAATACTAAAGAATAAAATTAATTTGTTAAAAAAAAATTTTTTTAGTTACTCTTTGAGTTACTAATATTATTAAAAAAATTGAAGTTTAATTTGAAGGATTTAGTAGAAGTTATTAAATACGTTAAAGGAAAATGTATACTTGGTGCAACTATTGATAATATAAAGTATACTAAATCTTTAAATTTTTGTGATTAAAGTTTGGTGTAATTTTCTCTAATGGTCAAAATGTGAACATAAAAATTGGGTTCTTGTCCTGTGCTTAAGTAACTGCTGTAGTTATATTGAAAATTTTCAATCACTATTTCAAAAAAATTGACATTTTATAAAAAATAAACTAACTATACAATCGAGTTAACAAATGGTCTAGGTTCTAGGAATATAGGCTATCATAAAAAATTTTTCGTTTTTAAATCCTAAAACGTAAAATATTATGTTTAAAGTTCTAAGAATTCTAAAAATTACAATTTATTAACGATTGTTTGGCTTTTCTCCAGAATAACAAACTATACAATACAATTTCCTTTGAACGTGTCAACAAAAATTCGGATTTCCTAAAAGTTTCCCCTGTGAACCATTTAGGAAATCCAAACAATAAGAAGATATTAGAATGCATACTAAAATAATCATAAATTTTGGATTTTTGTTTAGTAAAAATTAAGTTTCGAACACTCTGTGCAACAGTTACTTATGGCAAACAATTTTTTTTTAAAAATAAAGTAAATCATTAGGTAAAATAAATTTTGTAAAATGTGTAGGTGCACCGCATTAAAAAAATAACTATGTACAAGTATTCTTAAAAATACGCAACAACAAATTAAGTATGACTTTCTATAGAAAAGAAATTTCTAATCGTGTCGGTTTACATATATTCGAGTACCGTACCCGTGTATATTTCAACTATTTTTTAATAATAGGTTTCATTTTATTGATTGTTTGCTTTTGAAATATCTTGGTAGTACTTTTGTAAACGCAAAACAATTTAAATTATTAAAATAATATTATGAAACTCTTACTTTTGTTCTTCTAACCATTAAAGTCTTATATATAATATGTAATGCGTATATGTGTATGTCTATTTGTATTGATATATTGATAGCAGTTCTATATCATCACGTATAACGCATAAGTTAATTTTATATTCACGTCGTAAATAGAATATAAACATAATATTTATATATAGGACAGGTGTTTAAATGTTGGAAGTTCAATTGAAATCAAGGGCTTTTAAGTTATTTCTTATATTTTAAAAAAAATATGATGACAGAAATTTAACTTATAATCTTAAAGTAATTTATAAATGAATATTTTATTTGTTATTGATTCGTTCCATTTTTTTGTGACAATAATAATGTTAGTGATATAGCATATTAATAACATGTAATTTAAAGGTATACATATAAGAATAGGTTCTACTTCGTTATTGTATATAAAATTTTAAAAAAGGTGAAATACGTCATATGACAATAAGAAATTATTTAAAACTATGTATAAAATTTTAAAATATTTGGAACTATCACAAATATTAATGGACAATATTCGTAATCATAGAATTTTTAATTATTTTTAGATTTAAATGGAGGGTGACTGACAAGGTTTTATTAGCAAAATATAATCAAAATTAACAGATAATATTTCAAATAACGGTATGAAATCGAAGATGTTTGGCAATGGTAAATAGATGCATAAATACAAGTATCCAAGTATCTAATTTCCTTGTTTTTGCTAAGCAGGCAAAATATTTGTACTAAGCAAATTTTACTAGAGTGTATACCAAGCAATCGTCTTTATATAATATACGATATATATAAACTACGTTACTATACAAAATTATTTAGTATATTCAATCTGATTATTCTAAGTTGCTAGAAAATTTGAAAAGAATATTTGATTTATCATATAGATAAATACATACGAGTACATTAAAGTCTCCTTAAAATTTTTGCAAAAAAATTTTTTTAACAGAATCGAAATTTTTCTACTTTTGCTTTTCTGATCATAGCGATCGCAGCTATATAAAATAATTGTGACACCCGACACCATTTGTGTGTTTTCGAATGAATATTTTATTGACCTTTCTTTTTACCTTTGGAAGTACATACATTACATAACATACTTGAAAAAAATTTATTCTTATTTTTAAAAAACAGCGTAATTTTACTATTTGTTTTGCTTTAAATAAAATAGATTTTACAAGAGTTTTTAACTAAAAAAAATTTCGACATTATGTATAAAATTAATTCTTCTCAAAATTTGTAAAGTGTTTTTAAAAGTAGATTTTTTGCGTTTGTAGAATGTAAAAAGTAAAAACTAGCATAAAACTTGCCATTATACACGTGTAACTCAAAATGGTTTAAGTGGCTGATGTCAGTGATATACACTTATCTATAAGAAATCTACATACATATCTGTACTTTATTTTTTATTAAACATTATAATACATACGTACATTGAAATTTGGAACTACATATTGGAAGGCTTGGCGTAATAATCTTATAGTAATGAAAATTATTTTGATTAAAATAAAATATTCTTTTTTTTGCAAGTAAATACTTTGATTATGAAAAATTCAAGTATTTGAGATAAAAGATAATGGCTGAACTAAAAAAAATTTCCATATAAATATAGATGACCTATACACAAGCTTTAGCAAACTCTAACGATGGTTAATGAAAATTTAAACTCATTTAATTTTTAAGATTATTAATGATGAAATAATTAAAATTACAAAGTCATAGAAAATAATATTATAATGAAAATGTTTAATCTTATACGTTAAGTAAAAAATTTACGACTTGAGCCTACATACGATATTGTAATTTTAAACGATAGATTGAATGCTTATGGCACAGCATAAAAACCATATTATTGATTGATTTATTTTATCTTGTACCAGACCGAATCTAATCATCAATTTAATTTAAAAAAAAAAGTTATAAAAATCTCATCATGATAAAACGAGATACATGAAGATTTTTGTAGGTTGAAACAAACATGTCAACAACGTCAACAACCTCATATATTTTCATTTAGATCATAATAAAATAGTAACTACATTTTTGTTTTTGAGTAGGTGCATATTGAATTGAAAATTTCAATATTTTCTCTATTTAATATTTCATTGTTAAAACATTCTTCTTAATGATTACTTTTAGAATTTTCATTTTATTGTTATACTTTATAATCTCTCATATATTTTGTACCATTTTCCATTTTTTTATAATGTGCATTTATTAAAAGCTACTTTCACATGCATTTCACTCCTACGTGCTTTATTTAAAGACAAATAAATTACTACTTCATACTAGTAAAAAACAAACTTAAAAAATATCATCAAAATCATTTCTGGTTCATACTTTCTATTTATGACTATAACATTCTTCTTTTAAGCAATCTGAAAAAATCATCAGCTCGTAATTTTATTTTTTCTATATGAAAATCTCATACGAGTATTAATTGATAATTGTATGAGACACAATTAATGTATTCTGTTAAAATAAAATTTAGCTGTTCTTCAGAAAAACTTCATAGTACGGCGGCAATATTTAGGCCTTATTGGCCAAAATGGTAAAAATTGTTGTAACCAAATGCATGAACATTTTAAAGCAATTTTTGCTCCTCTTTATATAAAATATTTATTGAAAACAAATCCCATTACTTTTATTATTTCTACAATTTGCACTTAAACTTAGAAAACCTGTCCTTCTATTCAGTTAGATCAAACTTAAATACATCAAAATTCAAGCAACTGTTATTCATTGCATTTTCTTTACACGAAATATTCTACGGTACATTAACTAAATTACGATAAATTAATTAAAAAAAAGTAAGTTTGTAATAAAGAAATTGCACTAGTATAGTTTTCGAGACTAATTCCAAGTCTGCTATTATATAAATTGAGTCATTCACTTGTATAGATTGATTAATATGGGGCGATAATAGAAGATCTATTTGAACCCCTTCTAACGACCAGTGCCTTACTTATAGTACCCCCCTGAAACTCACAATTCTGATGAATTCAAGCAACATTTCTTAGAAATTGTCGTGAAACGACATGCCAACCAACGAGAGTGGGGCCAAACAGTCCGTTAATTCTTTTCGGGATTTATACCACATACACTCAATGAGAATATTTTATAGAAATTAATCTCTTAATAGGTATTCAATTTGAATATTTATTAACATAAAAGCTTACCAATTTTAAATTCCGGGGTAGAATTTAATTTGATGTTACAATAGTAAATGTAATAATATCGTTATTACCATAAAGATTATACGATGTCATTGAAAATCAAATAATCTGATTTCATTTAATTTAAATTTAATAATTTTCAACTATCAATCATTTTATGTATAAATCGGAGTATAAAATTAATAATTCTTTTATAAGTCTTACAAAATAATTTCCCAAATTCTGAAATAATACTGCCCTGCCAAAAGAAAAACCAATTGTTAATAATAACATTTATAAACATTTTGATATACTATCAATTTATTTCTTGTTATACACTAGATAACACTTGTTTTACTCTTCTAGGTAATCACTGTTTTTTCTTTAATAACTGCTGTACCGTATATCTATATAGTATATAAGAGTTTGGAGAATAATTATTATTATACTGCCAGCTTGCAATACAACATAATACGAGAAATATTATAAATATAAAATATTCTTTGAATTCTTTCTGATACAAAAATTGTTTACGGATGAAAAGTGTTGTAAAAGTAGATTGTGTGTAATTATTATGAAACTAGCTTTGTATAATGATATAAAAAATCTGGAATCATTATTTTAACTGGGATAATCACATACTTGTAAACAAGTACCTGTTAACTAGTTTTAAAATATTTACAATTTTTTTTTAACGATATTTAATAATTGGTTTTATTTTCCTGAAAAATGGATTTTCACTAAATAACTATAAAGAAAACATCAAAATATTTTACTTATATATAATAATAATTTTATATTTTATATATTGTTATTATTTTAATATATTTGTGTTTTATTATTTAGATTCCATTTAATATACATATACATATATATTTAAATTAAATTTTTCAATATATATATATATGTATATATATATATATGAATGAAATTGAAATACAAATTACAGGTGAAACAAAATTATATTTGAATATTTTTTTTTTTATTTTATATTTTTTCTTTTTGCAACATAATAATTAACATTGTATTTAATTTAACAACAAATACATTTAAATTAAAATTCTTCTTTCTTATTTTTTTGTGAAATACATAAGTTTTGTATGCAAATTAAATACATATATATATATATATATATATATATATAAGCATTTTATTGTAAACGGCATTAAATATCAATATTTTCTTTCATTTAACAAATATCGAGTATGATATATATATATATACCATATAATTTACATAAAATTTAATAATGAATAATTTTTTTTAATATTTCTGTGTACTTTATATATATATATACATATATATAAAGAGAATGCAGCTGGATGACTGATTATAAGAGTTTATTTTTTATTCATTATTTTTTATTAATGTTTTTTTAACAATATTTTAAAGAAAATTTCATGCACTTTTCTTATTACATATTATACACTTAATTACATAATATTTTAATAAAATGGTGTTAGGTATATTTATATAATATAATTATATTAAATTTATTTTTTATCAGTTGCTGGTGCAGCAGGACAACATCCAGATTTTTTACCAGATTTGCATGCACATTCACATCCTTGATCACATTTGCAGTTATCACCACATTTTGTATCGGTGCATTTGCAATCTATAATATTAATATTTATTAAAAAAATTAAAATTTATTTAATATTATTATTTTAATTACACAATAATATAAAATTTGAAATGTATTCAAAATTCTAATTTTAGAATTTACGATATTAAAATTATTAGAAAGTATGATGTTACCATAAATTTGTTGTTTGACTTCATAACATTTTAGTTATTCTAAAGAATCACAGAATATAACAATGGCATTTATTAAATATTTAATTACAACTTATAATAGTAAGCAGAATCTTATTGAAACTCTAAAATTTTAACTTTTTCTTTAAAGGGAAGAGGAACTGTAAAGAACTGTAAAGGTTCTGTACGTTTGTGTATGTTCATCATTATTATTTAGGAATTTGCTCCAAAATTTTATTATTAAAATGTTGCAATTAAATATTTTTAATCTTAATAAAAAATTTTATTGATTATATTATAAGCATAGTTACCTAATTTAATTCGAACAAATTAGTCGAGCTTAAAATAAAGTTGCATAATAATTTTTTACTGAAATTTTACTTTTGTCATACTCGATTAGAGCTGATATAAAAAAACGAAATGATTTGAAAAGAATTTCAATTTTTGATACTACTTGTCTTTTTAATTATTTTAAATTATTATGACCAAATATTTAAAATTTATTTTGATATTTTTTTTTTCTAGTTTCATAGAGGTCTTCTTAAATTATTGTCATATCATCTAAAATAAATAAGTTGCCAGCAAGAATATTAAATAAAATATTTTTAACAGTATTAATAATACAGCTAATAATGAAATTCTAAAAACATATGCGAACAATTTTAAATTATCTTGCTTTAACCACGGGCACTTTTACATTATATTCTTCTGATATGCAAAATTTCATTAATTTTTCAAAATAATCAAAATAATCAGAAATAGAATTAAAAAAATTAACCACTGGCTGACTAATAAATTATATCAAGACTAATTATTGTCGTATGAAGAACGCGTTAGAGGCTCCTGCAAGTAAAAGAGCTTTTGGACAATTACAATCAACGGCGTTTCAAGACGATCATAAAGATGACGAGGAATATGGTGAGAATTCTCATGGCTTTAAGGTTCTATGAGGAAATGGAGGAGATCCCGATCTACCTTTTCAATAAGAGTTTCGAGCTGATCGATAAGAGAATGCGCAGTTTGGATTACCGCACACTGGCAGGCGGGATGTTTCCCCGGAAAATTTGCACGCTGGGTGGAGAGCGGACATACAACCGATCTCTTAAGTCAGGTGCATTGTCGTTCCAATCTACAATCTACAATTGTTTAAGTATTTGAATTCCAATTGAAATATTTTCTGTAATTTTCTGAGATATCAGAAATTTTGTAAGTTAAAAATAACATGATGATATTATTATGATTATTTAAAAGATATCTTTTGATAATTAACCGACTTTAATCTTAATTTTATAAAATTAATTTTAATCTTAGTAAAACAATGAGAGGTAATAATAAAAAAAATTCTAAATTTAGGTATATAATTTCGATCATATTGTTGAGTGAACTAGTGATAAGAATAATTAAAAACAAATTAATATACATACATACATACGTACATATGCAAATCATCGCATATTATAGTAATTGCTCACTTTTTGTTTCTTTAATTAAATTTAGATATGTACTTATAGCATATAGTATGTACGCAATATTCATACACAGTCAAACACATTATAATCTCATTTTGGGTATACAAATTTCATTGTACCGGAATTTTTTACTAAAATCTAATTCTCCTATATGTATGTTTATAGGAGTGTTTTTTTCTTATTTGCATAATCATTGGTAATAAAATATAAAACATGATATTTTCTATTATTTCCTATAATGTATGCATGTACAAGAGGGTATTGTTGTATGAAAGAAATTCTCTACTAATAAAATTTAATTATATGAATTGCATGTATACATACAGTTCATATGTACAAATATTGCATATACGTTATGTATGAACCTATTAGCAAATTAGCTACTTTAAATGTGGTGTATGTGAATGCAATACTCTATAATATATATAATATAAAGTATAAAACGCTTTAAAAGAACGGCTACAAATTATTTAGAAAAAATTTACTTTAATTTGAATGCACTTATGAACAAATCTTCCATTATAAATTTTGTATTGTTAAAAATTTTCTTTTAATTTTATTTTGCAAAATTGTAAATTACTTCTGAATGAGTAAGTAATTTGAGTAAGTGAGGCGAAAAATCTAGGACATAGACACTTATTTTCTCTATAATACAACAGAATGCTGAAATACACAAAATTTTTAATCGATTTTCCTTATAAAATTTTCTTAATTAGCCGCAATTTAAAAACAATCCGATTTTTTTTCTTCTATAGTCACATTTTTTTTTTCTAAAAATATTCTAATGCTCTTAATTATACGAATAATTTATTGAATGCGTGCAAAATATATTTAATTTAGCATACAATATAGAATATTATAATTTAAAAATTATTTATTTACCATCTCCGCATCCTTTGCACGGCATCTTTACAATTTTTCCGGTTTTTTTTTTGTTTTTTTTCTTTAACTTTATTAAATTACTGCGTGAAGTTAATTCACGTTTTATCTATACACGTTCAAGTAAAACTTTAAACTGAAGTCTAATATTTCAATTAATTTTCTTTTATACCATTTGAGTTTTCATTGAGAAAGGTTATTATCACAAAAGTAATACAAAAACAAAAAAAAAATTTGTAAACGAAAATTTTATCTCTGTATAAGAAGAACCTCTGAAAAAAAAACATGAAAACAAAACCAATTTTTTATGCTCTTTTTCTCAATTTTTCATAAATTGGTATATAGAGCAATATGTGTTGACTATTTTGTTCGATTATCTTAAAAAAAATTCTACTACATAAATACAATTATTATTGTGATAGTGCAATTTAAAATTTCTTATGACACTATAAATGATGGTCATAAATACTTGTACTAAGCAATCGTCTCATACATACATATATAAATAAGTTACAAACCGAACAGTGTTTTTGTATAAATATTCTCATTATAACTTTAATTTTGAATTTTGGATTCTGAATCTTTTCCTCACTGCTCTCTAGAGTATTTCATCCAAATTTCATTAAAATCAGGACTATATTTGGTGAACTACTAGTACAATTACTAGTACAATATTACTAAATTTATAATATGGAGCATTTAAGGGATGCTACTTTCGTTTTCAGTGAAATTTTTTAATCACTTTGAATTGGTTAGTATTGCTAGTGCAGCCTAACAAGTGGAGCATCATAAGAAGAAATTTTAAAACATCTTATCCCTTATGATTTTTGTGAATGAAAAAAGAAATATAAAAATTAACAGGACTTGTTAATCTCATCACTTAAAATTATATTTAAATATTAAAAAAAAATTACTCGAATAATATAAATTGTGCATTACCGTACTTGAAAATTTAAATTATAGTTAAGCTCTAACACAAACTCATTATATTAAGCTCTTAATATTTGGTTTAGATTGGCTCAGATGTACATATATGCTATATGGGACTCAGAAAAGCAATTTCAAATCAAAGAAAATATAATCATTTTCCGGATATTTTCTTCACTACATATTAAACTTAAGTATCGGCAGGACATTATGGAAGTTTAAATGTATATTTTGTTTATGTGTGTACAGTTAGTATATAAAGATACAACATAAACTCTTTGTATTTGTTTTGCGCTTGCTTATATTTATAAAAAATAATAGAATGAAGAAAGTGAAAAATATTGAGAATAAGAAAAATAATATGAAAAAGTTTAAATTTTTTTTTTTATTTGGTTTGTTTGAAAACATGTCTTTAATTCACCTTCAATTGTGTAATCCACAGACAAAATTCTCAGCTTTTAATCATCCATCCTTTTATTAAAATGAGAAAATTGAATAATATTTTTATTTACCGTAGGTTATTTTTAAGTAAGGTAGGTATATAATATAAAATTGTAGACAAAAACATTATACGTAAATAATGTAAATAAAAGGTATATATTTATATGTAAGCGTGTATTGATGCTTCTGTATGAAATATAACAAAAATAAAATAGAATTTATCTTAATATTCATTTTAAACTGAATTATACTATAATAAACATTAAAATGAGTCAGAAGAGAAAAGTATTCTAAAATTTTTTTGGTCTTAATAATTTAAACCGGCATTATTGCGTACAAAAAAACATGAAAATATTAAAACGCAAAATTTTATAATTCAAGGTGACTTTGCAACTTCGATACTTTTAATTTCATAATAATATTAAATTTATTTTCAATTTCGAATCGAATTCAAAGTCAAATTAAATGAAGTAATAAATTTTATTTAATAAAATAATTGACCAGTAACTTCTGCTTTTAAGTGTGTATGTATTTTAATTCTTATATTAATATAATAATATTTAATATTATTATAATAATATGTTTATTATTATTATTTACCAACAATTCAAATTAAATGAATATTTGCGCCTATACTTATGCTAAGGTTTTCAAATTTTTATTACATGATTGAAAACTCATGTTGGGAAAATCTGTACTATGGTGGTATTAAATTAAATACATATAACGCAAATTTACGTATGCATGTATGTAAGTTTAGGTATAACTACATTTCTAAAATAAAATACGATATTAAATTAATATGACATAATTATATAATGTATGTAATTTACATAAAAATTATGTTAACACAAGTTAAAAATTACTTTTATATTGTCATAATTATATTGTTATACATAATGTATTAAAGATTTTCCCCTAACTATTAAAATTTAAAATTGGAGATTTTAAATTATATATGTTCGAAAGAATATTCTTATACAATAATTATTTTAATTGATATAATAATTTGAAATGAATGACAAAAAAAAAAAAACAAATGACGCATAGAATATTCAATTAATAAATATTTTTTAAAAACATTTTATCCTTCGTGTGATTTTGAAAAAATTCTCCCACATTATATATGTAATGTTATACATATAACATGTATAAAACTATCCCAATTAGAAAAATTGTGAAATAAGAATGATGAATAATTATTCGAATGTCAACTTTTTTTCTGACCAAAGGAAGAAGGTAAATATGAAAGCCATTAACCTGCTAATCCTTGACAACTAACTTTTATTTAATACCCTTATTAACAAATTGTTTTTATGTAAATTCAGGAAAATCAAGCACTACATGATCTGGTAAAGCATATTTTGCAGTATATAGCCGAAGGCACAGCTTTTTTTAACATTTAAAAGAGATTCCCGAATTAAAAAAAGGCGAGGCGTTTCATTTAAATGTTTCGTAAACGCCACGTTCATTAATATCGCTAAATATATCCATAAAGGATTCATAAATATTTGTGCATTCTATACATAATCAGAAGCATCCGTTGTATTCCCTGAACATCAATGTGTTTGGCACAAGCCCATAACTGAATACCATACAAATAAACCGATTTTATAATCTAGTAATAGAGCCGGATTTTCTTTTATATCGTGGGCTTTAAAATTTTTAATATACGTTAAGTAAAATATTAAAATAATTATGATTAGGCATGTCCTAATTTATTGTGGTAAGGCTAGTATATTTAATTACTGTTATAAAAAAAAAGCGTGACCATTATTAAATAAATAATGAATAGGTAAAACACGCAACTAAATTTAAATTTAAAATTTATTTTTTTTTAATAGAAAAGGAAATTATTTTAAAATAACTTTTTTTTTTTAATTTTTGTTAAAAAAATTTAAAGAAAATAAAAATTTTATTGATTTGAAACACGAGCATTATTTTTTTTTTTTGTCTCATATAATTTAAAATCATAATTGACTCCCTCAAGGTCATTATAGAGATCATCATAATGCAAACGTTAATTTATTAAGCCTTATTTTTAATTTTAGAAATTATTGGAATATTAGTACGAGTATGCGAGAAATATTTAGAATGACATGGAGTAAATAAACAATAATAGACAAGAGTAATAAACAATCTTCCAATTCTTCCTCAGTTCAAAGTTTTCTTACAATTTTAAATTATTTTTTTCAGTATATTGAGGCTAATTCAAAGCGTATCGTAATTTACCAATTATAAATTTATGTAGTATTTAAATTATATTATTCTTTTAAAAAACTTTTCGAAATTTATCATCATTACTCTATAATTTACTTCATTTCTATGAATGTAGTTATAAAAATAGAAATTTAATTTCAGCCAATTTGCATTTCTAGTGCGATTTTTTGAACATCGATTTCAAAACTTTTAATATTTTTGAAATGAATTAATGTAGTATAAATGCATTTATGTAATATATTCCAAATTTTTATAATTTACATTCTATATTTCTCAATCAACATCTTGAGGTCAAATTATAAGCTGCTACATTGTTTGCTTAATTAATAGTAAATAAAATCTTATTCAAATTACTTCAGATTGGCAAAATTAGATGTGAAAACAAATATTCTTAGTAAAATATTCGCGTATACTAAAGTTCTTAAAATACTTGAGAAACAAACCATGTATACTCAGCGACTAAACGAGATTTTAGTCAAAATTCAAATTAATTACTACAATCATTCAAATTCTTAATATAATATGCACCAAATTTTTAGAAAGAAATTTGTACGATAATTTATGGTCTGCAATATCAATTTAATTGAAAGTCCAAACTTTATTGTTATCTTTTTATCATTATTTCTAAATTTTAGTACAGTTGTACTTGCTCGTAATTTATATATACTTATATATAGGTACGAGCTACAGCCGCGTGGTTTTTATTTATATCTCGCGTTATTACTGATATGAACGCGATCATCTTATTTACGTTATTACGAGTATTAAGTTTATGTACCACCATACATTATATACGTACATACAGAGGTAAAAAATATTTACTCAACGTGAGTGACTGATTGTGTACACTTATATAGATATTTTTTTTTTATTTAAAAATTTTTATTTATCATTTTATCAGCATTTTTTTTCCTTATCAAATAAATATGCTTTCATGTTGTATATTAAATTTTATATAAATATGATTAGGAGTAAATATTATGATATTAAATGTAGGTATACATATCTATATATGCGTATGGTGTTTGCAAACATACAAACTGCATTTGGGCTAAATTTTTCTGTAATAAACTCGTCCTATTTAGAATAGGCTTTAAAAATTCAATGTATAATACAAAATATACTCCAATATTCTATTAGTCGCATCACTTGGCATGATGGAATTTTATTGAAAAGTACTTTGGTTTTCAGTATAGAATTTCAAATTTTTGAATTGATTTTATACCAAAAAACTTTAAAGTTTTTTAAGTAGCAACCCGTGACGAATCAAATGATGCGACTAACAAAATGTGGTTAAAAGACTTAAAATTCTAAAAGTGTAATATTTTAATAGATTAAATTAGGTTAGGTCAACGCGGCTAGCTAGGACCGTTATCATACCGCTCGATTCACAAAATCACCCACTCTCAAAAGAACCAGTTTTTCGGAAACCGATTAAGGTTCCTGGCATTTAACAGATCCACAGTTCTTAAAAAAAGTTAAAGAAACCAAGACATCTTCGTCAAAGTCAAACTTCCTTCTTTTCCACTACAGTGTTACAGTGATCATTCGCAGGGCGACCCATCCACCTATAAT